TCTTTGTTGATGGTCACCTTTCATATGCTTAGCTTTCGACAGATGATTTGGAATACTTGACTACTTTTACCGTTTTAAACTTTGCTGATCCTTCGCCATAAAAATATCGCGAGTATTGCTTTGAAAATCCTGATTAATCATAGACCTTGACGAACCTTGCCATCTTACGGTTGCTTTCAAGTTGAAGCCAATATATGAAAAACGAGATCTAATGCAGGTCATCATGAGCGATGTAGTTGTCATTTAAATATGAGTTTGATTATCATTATCATCAGAAACTGTATATTTATGCACAATGCAAGCAAATTGCTCAGTCGGGTGATTGGTCTGTAGTTGTTGTAGCGTTTATAGCCCAAATAACTGTTAATCATCTGCAGACCGCAGAACGAACTGCTGAAATCAACTTTGTCCACCTTGAAGAACACCCGTGAGACACTAGCCGAAATCACCCGATTGACCAGTTTGGTTGCACTGTGTATAAAATAACTGTGTTTTGACACAGTTTTCAGTTTCCAGTATGATCACCAACGCACGAACGACAAAATTTAGTATATCATTGTCATTTTAGTATTCAGCATGTCAGAGAATATATTGTTGGCTTCTGCATAAAAAATCGTCCGGAGAATGGTTATGTAATGCAGGGGTGAGATTAAGTGTGTTTAATCATTACGTTTGAAACTTTCACTGGACGTGTTTTTCCAATCATCTGCAATCTGTGTAGTATGGCTTATATTTTGCAGTTATCGCAAAAAATGAGATGCTGATGAATTATTTGCGCAGCCGTTATGTCACGTGTAAATGTTTGTATGTGTTCGTGCCTCTCATTTTCAGGTTCCACTGCATGACCGTAGTGCATGATCTAATGACGTCCGCTGGCGGCAGGCGGAATCGTAATTTTAGGTTCTTCTGTTCTATAGCATCCGCGAAGGAATTTCTCCTAAGCGGCTGCAGACCTGCCTCGACTGCATCTTTCTGTATTCGATGTCGGCCGCCAGAACGTTGCTGTCCATGATTTAGATGCCATAGCAGGACCATCTGAGTTGTTGATGCTTTGTTCTTGTTCACGGTAGTATCGAACCACGAAATTCGCGTTGCTTGGAGCAGTTAAGATAATTCCGTTGTTTTGTTTTGGCTAGTACCTCTTTGTTCGTTACTCGCTGGAAGCAATGAGGTTTGAGCAAATGGCGTGGACAACGCTGTTGGAATGCGCTTTGCACAAGGTTGCTGTTTCCATGCCTTACAGTGAATCGAAAGACGGCGTGAAGATGACTTTCATCGTCAGTAACAGTGGATGCCCTGATGACACCAGCTCTTTTTTATACTTTTATATGCATATGTTGCTAAAGCAGTTCTGTTCCACCTCCAGTCCTAGTGACCGTCGTTCACAACTACACAGGCAGCTATTTTTACTGGTCAGTTTTTTCCCACTCTTCCTCCATTCGAACAGTGATCGATTTCCTTTGTTTCTTCCATCCATCTCATCACTTCGTTTTTTCCAGTTGAGTCTGAGGTATGTTCCTTCATCAGCGGCATGAACTGCCTCTATTAGTAGTCGTAGTCAACCACTGGAATCGCTGAGCGGTATTATATCATCTGCATAATCGAGATCCCGGAAGTTTATCGCTAGGTTTCTTGAGCTCCATCTTCAGTCTAATGTCAGTCCTATTCCATGAAGGTTGTTAGCGTTTTATCACATCATCCAGTCGACAAAAGAAGGAAGAGGATTGGCGAAGAGACGTCGCTTTGTCTCACACCGTTTATGATTTTAAATCAGTGATGCAGTTCATCTTCGATTTTCACAGCACATATAGTATCATTGTACATATTCTCCAACACCAGGTCAAACGCAATCGTTAGGTGAGATGGAATGCGGTAATACCGCAGGATCTATGAACTCTTATAATCGTCCATTTGTGAAATTGGCATGAAGTACTAATTTGCATGTTACACTTGTGATTTGACTGTCTGTAACGTGTCGATTCCTTGATCTGTTTTCAGTTTACATACTGGAACGAAAAGAGTCGTCGAATGGAAATGACCGTGCTAGAACTGTACGAAGGATATGAACAGCTTGACTCAAGTCAATTTTCATCGCAGCGAAAACTCTTGCCACTCGTCCTTCAGCAGACGTATATCTTTCCGCAAGGGCTGTCGGCCATCGCCGTCACGGAGACCGAAAAGGCTATCACGCCGCGGCATCTGCTGCTCGCCATGCCGTTTGGAGGCATTCTCGAAATGCCGAAGTCATTCCTCGATCCGCGACGAGTGCTTTTGCCAACGGTGGAACAACGGTGAGTAGTTGTTGGATTCCGTCCAAATTTCGAACCTTAGACCCACAGGCAAGAGGACGCACCATCTTCGTCGATTTTCGAAG